GGCCTGCATGGGTTTTAATGCAATGGTTATAATGTTTTCATTTTATATGTTTAAACTGTTTTAGTTTTCTGTTATTTTAAAGATTTTGTGTTTTTAAATTGTTTTATATGTCTCTGCAACTCACCCTGAGATCCTACAATACAGAGTGGACCAAAAATGTTTTACATACATATACATACATACATACATACATACATACATACATACATACATACATACATACATACATACATACATACATACATACATACATACACACACACACACACACACACACACACAACTGCTTGACAACAATCTGTTTTCATAGCCCAATGCAAGCAGAAAAACAGCATATAGGTCATCCTATATGGTGGAACAATTGTGTTTAGTCTTGTGAATCATAAATTGCACAGACTTGTTCTCACAGAAGCACCTTGCCTCTTGCCCAACTCTCTGCCCTTTTGGGCTACCATTTCTTCAATCTGTTCTGAACATTCACTTCAGTATTTAAACACTGAAGCTCAAACAACTAGTGTCAAACAGGTTTACCTTTTCTTTCTCTGATTCTAGTGCCTCACAGAATTCAAAATGGACACTCATAAAACCTAGATACTGTATTACATATGAACATTGGAGATTACTAGTAGAGAATGTGAGGAACTCAGAATAGCATCTACCACTGTCATCAAGACATTTTGATCCTCAGTCTCCAAAGTGTCTTCTCATTAATTAACATGAGATATAATCTAATGAGAAGTCCACTTCACAATGCCTACTGAAATGAACAGGCGTTATGCAACTCTCAGCCATTTGAGTGAGAGATACCGTAACTTAGATGAACTCTAAGTGGACTGCTCTCCATGAGGCAGTTCCTTCACTCTCTCTCTGGCATTAAAGTTATGCATCCTACCTCATGGTAAGAATTATCTCTAGTCATCCCAATACTTACTCCAGTTTTACTTCCAAGAAGTACTTTCAGAAGAGCAAGTCTTTCTTGTCTTTTCTCTATTCCAGGTTTTCTGTCTCTAACTCAGGCATCAATCCGTATTGGATATAAAGTTCTTATACCTAATCTATTAGAACCCCTTGGAATTTTCTATTCCAAGGAGCAACCCTACTATTAGGTCATCTGAAGCTCCTAGCTGTGCTGATAATTTTCAGAGTAGTGTCAAAGCACAGCAAATCTATCTTTCTTTTTTTTTCTTTTTCTTTCTTTCAATACAACAACATATAGTGGTCTTGCCACTATTCTGAGTGGTTTCTAGCAGTATACGAAACATACAAAGAGAAGTCAAATCCCACCCAAATCAAACAATATAAGATAAATCTATATAACAAAACAACAGATCTAAAAATCAAGATGGCGGCAACAGACAAGGATACACAGTATAACCATCAAAATAAAACTAAACAATCAACAATTATAAAGGGAGGATACCCTGAAATGCCTTCCTGAAAAGTTTTTATGGGCTTCCTGAATATTCGGAGGGAAGAGGCCTGGGGCATCTCCACAGGTAGAGCATTCTGTAAAGAGATGGCCACCACAGAGAAGGCCCGGCACCTAGTCACAGATTTCCTGGCCTCCCTCAGGGTGACCATCTACAAGCACTGGTGTCGAATGTGGCCCTCCAGATGTTCTTGGCCTTCAACTCCCAGAAATCCTGGCCAGCAGAGGTGGTGGTGAAGGCTTCTGGGAGTTGAAGTCCAAGAACATCTGGAGGGCCACAGTTCGACACCACTGATCTACAGCATCAAAACCTGGGAGGTGTGAGTGACACAGGAAGCAGGGAGAGGCACTCCGATAGGTAGTGAGGTCCCAAACCATTTAGGGATGTATAGGTCAGAATTAGTACTGTACCTTGAATTTGGCACAGAAGCAAACCAACATCCAATGCAGGTGTACCAGGACCAGAAAAATACGACAGTATTTTGAAGTTCTCTAAATAAGCCTGGGCGTTGCATTTTGTACTTGTTGCAGGTTCTGTACCACCTTCGAAGGTAGCCCCAAGTAGACAGTATTACAACTGTCTATCCCTGAGAATACCAATGTGTGAACTAGTGTTATCAGGGACTTCCCGTCTAGGTAGGGCCTCAGTTGTGCAATCTGCCTAAGATGGGGGGGGGGAGCAGATCTGGCCATGGCCAAAATCTTTTTTTACACTGAGAGGGCCAGGGCAAGAAAAACATCCACATTACAAACCTGCTCTTTTGGGCGGTAATGTAACCCCATCTAGAACAGGCTGGAGACCTCCCAGATAATCAGAATTCCCAGCTAACAACAAGATCTCCATCTTGTCAAGATTCAACCTCAGCCTGTTCACTTTTGCCCAATTCATAATCGAGGCCAGGCAGCTCTTTAGGGTCTGCAAAGCTTCTCCTGCTAAAGAGGAAAATGAGTGACAAGAGCTTCACGTCATCTCACACTCACAATCTCTGGATGGCCTCACATAGATGTTGAACAGCATTGGGGAGATGACTGACCCCTGTGGGACTCCACATTGTAAGAACCCATGGAGTTGAAACAGCCTCCCCAAGCTGTACTATCTGGGAGCGGCCTTCAAAGGAGGACCAGAGCCAGCATAACACTAGGCCCCCCCAATCCCCAACCCTGTCAATTAGTCCAAAAGAATACCATGGTTGAATGGTTTCAAGGGCTGCTGAGAGATCCATGGGAACCAACAGGGTAACATGCCCCCAGTCCATTTCCCTCAACAGGTCATCAAGTAGGGCAACCAAACCTGTATCAGACTGATGGAGCAGCCTAAACACTGACCGAAAGGGATCTACTGGTGTCCTCCAAGAACTGGTCGGCCATCCACCACTCTCCCAAGCAGCTTCCCCGCAAATGGTACGGCTATTAATTTCCTCATGAAATCATCCATGATTCTTCTATAACAATATATGTGTTCACTATCACTTAGATTCTCTGCCTAAGACACTAAAATGTTGGGGCTCTTTATATCCATGGTGACCTGTTCTTCTGTAAATCTTACCTCCTGCCTATATTTCTTTCCATTCAGGCTTCCCTAAATTATGTCATGCTCGGCAAGTTTTTACTGTGGGGACAAAAGAACAACAGCAAAAAAAAAAAAGACATAAAGAAAAATGGAGGAGAAAGGATATAGATTGCATACAAATACACACACAAAGAATGAAAAGGGCACACAAATGATTTTAGAGATGGGCACATGAACTGACAGATACTATGACCCAGCAGAGAATTTGCCTCCTCCAGCTAGGGTTGTCAAAACTGTTCTCATTTTGCTGGGAACATGAAACCACTCAGGGCACTGGAGGGGGTGGGCTTGACTTTTTTTAAGGCTATGTGGACTAGAAGGAATAGTGGTTCTTTGGGTATTTGCTTTTTTTGGTGGAGATAGTTCTTCTATGAGTCTATAGGATAATACCACACTTGGAACAATATCATCAGTTCCCAGGGCTTCAATATTTTAATTTTTTGCATCATGTGGTTGTGTTGACTTTGGGATTCTGGGAGGTGCAGTCCAAAAAAGCAAATTTGCTAAGTTCTGCCTATCCCTTCTACTGCATGAAGGTGTTGCTAGTCTGTGCAATGTAGTCGGTAAGAGCTCTGAGCAAGAAAGCCAACAGTTCAGATTTCAGCCCATTCGTGGAATTCAGTATACAAACCACTACTACCTTGGCCTTCACCTTCAATCTGTAACATGGAAGAAATAAAAATGACCTACTCTGCTGGGTATGTGTTAATGCACTAGCTAAATGCTAAATACTGTTGCACAGTTAAGAAGGCATTTGCTTCCCTGGACTCTCAGAAAATCCATGAAGAGCACAGATGTAGCAAGGAGTTTGGAGAGCAGAGGCCCCTGCTTAATGTCTTACTACACTGTGACCGGATGGTAGAGGCAAGCAATTCTGGCTATTCTCGACCTATAACTCCCAATAAGTCTAATTGCCACATCCAATGACTACAGATTACGGAAATTCCAGTCCAAAAATATCTGAAAGCCCACCTCTACCTAGCCCTGCCTCCAGGACAACTGTTTTGTGACAACAGAAATCTTTTTAAGAGGATAGACTAGGAAGCAATCCTTCTCCCGTTCATCCCCTGGACTCTAGGACCTAGAGGAACCCACCTTCCTAGAAAGGAACAGAAGCACATACCCTCGCTGGCTTGGATAATGATGTGGTCTGGCACTTCTAGTTATTTAAGCCCACATCCATTTCAATAAATACAGGCATCACATGTCTCACCTAGGTTTGTAGGGAGCTTGTAAGACACCAGACTTCCCCCCTTCATAATAGGTACCCTCTCTCTGTCCCCCAAGCCGGCCCCATCACCCCTATATAACTCTCGGGCAGCCAGACCAACACTCTTCCGAAGGACACTCGGAAATGTCAGCTTTGCCCCTCCGTGGAACTGCAGGAGTCTGTCCTGTGGGGCCTGATGGAGCAGTGGGTGCTCTGGATGCCAGGGCTCTGTTTTGTCAGAATGCAGCTCGGGTCTAGAGGGGCTCCGGCACCGCCGGTTTCTCTTGCCTGGGCTTCTCCCGGTGTCATCCTCTGGGAGGCCCCAGGGACCCGGTCGGTGGTCTATTAGGATCCCCCCACATGTTCTCCGGGGTTCTTGGAAGCTTTCGCATCGCTTCTGCAGAGCGCGCGGCGGAGACAGCGGTGGGGCAGGAGGGGTGGGGGCTCTATCGCCATCCCTATCCCGGACAGAGGTGTGGGTTTTGGGGAGAAGCTTCTGAATCCCGATCTCGGGAAGGGGGGGGACGGAGGCAACGAGGGGGCGGGTACCCAAACATTTTAATCGGCGCGTGGGGTTCATTAAGCCCGAGTCTTCCTGCTTTCTGACAAGCCCTTCCTCGCACCCGCCGCCGCCTCCTCCTCCTCCTCCACGAGCCCTGAGAGACGGCGACTGGAGAAGAGATGGCCAGCCGGCCCCCCACCACCGCACCTCCACGAAGGACCGCTCCGTGGGGCAGAGAATGGATGCCAAGCAGGCAAGAGAGCTGGGGCACCCAGAGTGGGGCACTTACCGGGCTCCGGAAGGGCAGTCGACTGAAGGAGGGACCTGAAGGAGAAGGAGCCGTGGGAGAGCTTCGGAGCGCCAGCTGTAGCAGCAACTCCTTTCCCCCGCCCTCCTCCTCCTCCTCCTCCTCCTCTACCCTTTTCTCCCCGGGACTTCAAAGATGGGGGAGACGGAAAACATCTGGGGCACCCAGAGTGGGGCACTTACCGGGCTCCGGAAGGGCAGTCGACTGAAGGAGGGACCTGAAGGAGAAGGAGCCGTGGGAGAGCTTCGGAGCGCCAGCTGTAGCAGCAACTCCTTTCCCCCGCCCTCCTCCTCCTCCTCCTCCTCCTCTACCCTTTTCTCCCCGGGACTTCAAAGATGGGGGAGACGGAAAACATAAATCCCCCTTCCAAACAGACACACACACACC